ATGAGGTGATGATAAACCGATTGTCATATAAATGATTATTGTTCGCATTTTCTTAGCGGTTGTCGCGGCTAAGAACTGGGAGTTGCATCAAATGGATGTCAATAATGATTTCCTGCATGACGGCTTGGATGAGGAAGTCTACATGAAATCTCGTCCTGGCTTTCGTGCGTCCCGACAATGCCTAGTTTGTCATCTGAAGAAATGTCTATATGGGTTCAGGCAGGCCCCGCGATGTTGGTTTTCCAAATTGACTGCTGCCTTAAAATATTTTGGTTTTCTTCAGTCCTATTCGGACTACTCTCTTTTTACCTTATGGCGGGGTGCAACTCGTTTACATGTCCTGGTTTATGTGGACGATTTAATTATTGGAGGCAATGATTATACTCTTTTGTCCCAGTTTAAATCCTACTTACACAAATGCTTTCACATGACGGGTATAGATGTTCTTAAATATTTTCTGGGCATTAAGGTTGCACACAGTACCGAAGGGCTGTTTTTCTGTTAATGAAAGTACACTCTGGATATTATTTTCGAGGCAGATCTTCTTGGCGCTAAGCCTGCTGCTTTTCCTATGCTTCTTTCCTCTTTTTTCCAAAAGAAGAAAGAAGACACTTATTTTGGGACAACCCAGAAAGGAAAGTAAGACATGTAAAATGGGACGGAGGAAGTATTTCATTGTGCTTCTTAAAGTGATTCGTTTAAGTCATTTTTGACAAAGTGATTTATAATAAAAGTAGATCGTATTTGTAAATAGAAGTGATTTTGATTAAAAGGTAGAAATTAAAATGTTTCATAAAAGGAAAAATTGAAAATAATAATCTCAACCATTACCGGTTCACTATTAATAATCCGAACTATCGTTTATTTGTAGGTGGTCCAAACTATAGGGACCATTTTGACCATTTTCCAAAAATAGTCCCTAACCTGCTACAACCTGGTATAACAGGTCAAATTTAAATGCGAAATATGCATAAGTTATAAATAATCCAAACTATAGTTGATCCTCTTTTATTAATCCCAAATATCAACTCTCAATTTTAGAAAAATATAAAATATTTTTATAACTTTTCAAATTAAATAATTTTAAACATGTGAAAATTATTGTGAAAGTTCTACAAATTCACTAATGTTAAATAAAATAGTTTTAGTCATTTTTTATCTATTTTCACTAAAATTTCTTTTTTTTCTTTTTTCTAATTTATTATTCCCAGCTGTGTTCACAAGTTATGATTTGCATTATTTTCCTTTATTCAATTTTACATTTTCCGTTTTCAAAAAGTAAGATGCAACTAATTTTTTTATTATTGAAAGATTTATTCTATTTTTTTTATGCTATATTATTCTAAAAATCTAAATTCTCTATTCTTTTCGATTTTAGTTTTTTTTATTGCTTTCTATTTTATTTATTTTATGCTATTATATTCTATAAATTATATGATATAATTTATGATTGAATTCTAGTGATTTGGGACATAGGTTTTGGAGGTTTTGGCTGTTTTTAATGAAAATGTAATAATATTGCAATTTAAATGATACAATAGAAATTGTAAAATATGTAGAAAAAATGCATCACTTAGAATTAAAATATTAATACATTTTCATTAACATAGCCAAAACCTCCAAATCCTATGTCCCAAATCACTGGAATTCAATGATAAGCTATATTATTTAATTTATTGAATATAATAACATAAAATTAATAAAATAGAAAGAAAGAAAGAAAGAAAGAAAGAAAGAAAAACTAAAATTGAAAAAGATAAAGAATTTTGATTTTTACAATTAAGATAGCATAAAAATTTAATAAAATAGATCTTCATGAAAAAATCCAGAGTAAAGATTTAAATTGTAAACTTTTTTAATCACAATATACTTTTTGAAAACACAAAATGTAACATTGAATAAAGGAAAGTAATACAAAATCATAACTTGTTAACACAGCTAGGAAAAATAAATTTGGAAAAAGAAAAAAAAAATAAATTTTAGTGAAAGTAAATAAAAAATGACTAAATATATTTTTATTTAACTTCAGTACATTTGTAAAATCTTCATACTTATTTTTACATGTTTAATAATATTTAATTTGGCAATTAACAAAAATATTTTTATATTTTTTTAGAATTGAGAGTTGATAATATATTGGGATTAATAAAAGAAGATTAATTATAGTTGGGATTATTTATACCTTAACCAAGTTGTAGCAGGTTAGGGACTGTTTTTGGAAATGGTACCTATAGTTGGGACGACCCAAGAAAAATCGATAGTTGTGATTATTAATAGCGGATCGTCAATAGTTGAGATTATTATTTTCAATTTTTCCTTCATAAAAAAGTGATTTGTGATATACGAGTAACATTTAAATAAAAGTACAAAAATGCACTTGCCATAAAAAATCATACGATGCACACATGATGTATTGTAATATTGTATTGGGTAATTTGGGATATTAGTGAATGTGTTCTTTTAATAATTGTCCTTGAAGTTGGAGCTAATAACAAAAAGAAAAACTAAAAGCTTTAAAAAGCACCTCCGCTTTGAGCTTTGGGATTAAAAGTGCTGAAAATTTTAAGTAAAAGTTGGTGTTTGTAAACACCATTTGTAAATTTTTCAATTGAAAACGATGAAAAGCATTTCTAAAATGAAATAAGCCTCAGTGTTTTGGTTACATCACTTTTCCCCTTAGTTCGGTTAAAAGTGTTGGACGGACATTGATAAAAATGACTTGTAATTCTCTGCTTGATATAAATTATACTATGAGAGTTGGAATTACTTTCCATTAATGTCTGGTATGAACTATTTTGGTATTGCAGATATCTGTTTTATGTGCGTTTTATTGTTTAAGTCTTAGTCTTGTTTATTTAGGTCTGGCTTAATGTGGTTTGGGAATTGATTTGGTCGATTGAGACTCAAAGGAGTAAAAACACCATAATCCTTAGGACGTGACAAGTTATGTTTCAGTCGAAAAATAGAATACTTCTGAATTTAGTAATTTGACTTTCTTCCCTATTTAAAGTTATCAATCATATACTCATTTTTGCAACTTCGTTGCGAACTAAAGTAGCTTTATTATCTTACACTACCAAAAAAACACGGGATTGACAGGGATTTTGGCAAGGATTTTGGCAGAGATTATGCCAAATCCGTGCCAAAAAACTTTGGCACGAGCTATTTGGCACGAAAAATCGGTAATCCGTGCCAAATTTCCGTGCCAATCTCGTGTTCTTTTTGTAGTGTTATTACGACTATTTTGTAAGGAAAACTTTGTCAATTTACCCTACATAGATAGAAGACTTATGTAAGAGTAATTCTACAGTCATACATCGTAAAAGCATTAAACAATACAGTGATATTTAGGGGAAAATGGTCAAATATGGCCTCATATTTGAGGCCATATGAGGCCTTATATAGGAGGTTCTGTATTGCCATCGCCATTTGGGGCGGTTCCCGGTAGAATTTTTTGATGAAATTTTTTGATCATCTTATTCATTAAGTCTAGTTTACTCATACCAAATTTCAGCTAAAACTTCAATCGGGAGGCATTCAAATAAATTCTTGAAGATAACTGCACTTTTAACTGCGCAGTTATATTCAAGAATTCATTTGAATGCCTTCCCGATTGAAGTTTTAGTTCAAATTTGTTATGAGTAAACTAGACTTAGTGAATAAGATGCTCAAAAAATTTCATTAAAACATTCCAACGGGAACCGCCTGAAATGGCGTCGACCGGACAGAGTCTCCTACATAAGGCCTTATTTGACCTTTTTATGTAAGTTTGAGGCCCTATCTGACCCTTTTCCCGATATTTAGGGATTGTTTACTTTTTCTATTAAGTTCTTTCTATCTAGATTAAGACGTCTGTCTGGGTTAAGATGGTTGTCTGGATTAAGTGATATTTATGTATGAAGCTGTTTATTTTGTAAGTTGAATAAATAGTTCCAATCGAGTAAAATGACATAAAAACCGTCTTAATACACGTCTTAATGAAAAGGACTGCTATTCTATGGCTTATAAATAAGATGACTATATGGATTTATCAATAATAAATCCATTAAGTCAAAAGTAACCAGTCCCTTAATTACTCTCAATAAACAAAATAGGAAAAATTGAAAATAATAATCTCAACTATTTCCGGTCCGCTAACAAGAATCTCAACTATTGATTATTTTTGTATAATCTCAACTATATAGATCGTCCACCAATAATGGTCCATGACCAGATATTACCTCCTATAACAAGTGAATTTTAAATAGAAATTAAGCATAAAAATTAAAATTTTAGATTATTTATAGGAATTACTTGCTATATCTCTTCTCATCCACATTATAAACTACATGAATTTATTTATAGGGACCGTTATTGGCGGAAGGTACCTAAAGTTGTGATTACTCTGAAATAATCGATAGTTGAAATTATTATGAGCGGACCATCAATAATTGAGTTATTACTATCAATTTTTCCAACAAAATATTATCTAGAAGTCATTGCAAAAAAAGACTCGTTTCTTAACTTGGTTACTGTCAAAGTATGAAGTTCTTTATTTAAGGCTATGTTTGATACTTGATGTTTGAGTGTTCGAATTTTGTTTCTTAACCCTTTAATTACATTTTAAAGGTTGAATCCTTCACTTTTTCATTTGTAATTCCTCCAAAACGTTGAATCCCCAACTCTAATGGTCCCACGTTCCGACCCGACAAGTCATATGAAAGGATGTAAATCACGGTGACTCAGTCAAACCAGTGGTAATAGGTCATATACCCGTGCATATACCAGAGGTCCTACCCAGCACACAAGATTTGTAACCTCCACACGGTTGTTGCAGGCCTTGGTCATTCCTCAAATTCTCCCACCACTTTTGATTTTAAATAATTGAGGGACTCGCCAGATACAAAAATAAAACTAAATATCCACAAAATTATATAGTGCTACATAATATTTATGTTAGTCATAAATATATAATTATTTCAATTATATATGTCAAAAAGGTAAAAGAAATATATAGATACCTGGTGAGACAGGTGTACAAACAACCTCAGATATATTCAATCCCCTCCTCTTGATCGAGTCTTGAAACCGGGAATCGTTCATGATCAACGTACTGGCTTGAATGAGTTCATCTACAGTGAACGGCGGAAACCCATACCCGCCATACACTTCATTTGAGACGATATAGTTCATGATCAAGTCCACAACAACTTCGCGAGTCTTGCCGTCTGTCCGGACCACTGCCCTGGCTTTTCTATAGGGAAAAGATTTGTTCCTGGAGGATGATGATAACCAGGTTATCACATCGTTCTTCTCTGGTTCTTCAAGATCAATATAACTGAAAGTTATGTTAGAGAGGGAACGGATGTTGGAGTGGAGAATAATGTCTCTTGTTTTGTTTATTTCGTGGGGATTCAGATTATCCAATGGATGAGATATGGAGGTCCCAATAGAAGCTACTAAGAAGACCAAGGTTGTGAAGAAGGATTGGAGAATTCTTAAAATTTGTATTGTCATCTCTAATCATAATTCATAAATTGGCTATGAAATGACTATTTTATTTGAAAGCGAATGGATTTTGGTCTTCACTGAAAATCTTGTGATTAATGAGCGTTGATGGAACTTATAAGTCCCGGCTGAAACGCGTTCAAGATGCAATTATGGGGCTTAGTGGTAGACTTAGAATTTTTCTAATGACCACCGATAAGGCTATAAGTATGTCGGATTTGTTTTCTAGCTAATCACTAAAAACAAACGTAATTATATTTAGGAAACCGGCCTATGTGTTAGTAATATTCTGGAGAATTTTTCCTTTGTATCTACTTCGTATTTATTACTCCACTTCGTATACCATGCAACCACCCCACAATAAGCATCATACTCTCACTCTCAAAACGATGTAGTTTTGGGCAATTTAAAAAAAAATCGGGTGAACAGTACACGCGTGTACAGTGATTTTTTTTTGTCCCAGTAACTCAAGCATTGATGATGTAACTCGCGTGTAAGGATATGTAACTCACGTTATTGATCAATGTAACTTAAGTCCAGTTGAAATGTAACATGTCAAATACATAGTATAAGAAATAAAATTTGATTTCAATGAAAATAAAGAGTCTAATTGTCCAATTATGTTACATAATAAAGAGTGTATATGTTTTGTTTTTAATATCAAGGTTATAAAAATGATTTTTTTTATAAAAAAAAGTTTTTATTTGAATAGCATGGGCTTATTGGGTTGTGTAACTCGCATTATATTCTGATGTAACACGTGTTTTGGAAAATGTAACTCAAATGTAAACAGGATGTAACTTACTATGAAAAGTTGACATGTAACTCACGGTATAAGATATGTAACTAAAGGCAAATCCTTATGTAACTTGAGTGTGCGCAAGATGTAAGTTGAGTAAGGTCTTAGGGGTCATCTTCAACATGTAAAAAATATACTCCCTCTGTCCCAATATAAAAGGCACACTTTCCTTTTCGGTCCGTCCCAATATAAAAGGCACATTTCCCTTTTTGGTAAACAAAACAGTGCAAAACAATGGCAAACAGTGCCAAACAGTGTCCAAACAGTGCCAAACAGTGTCTAAACAGTGCCAAACAGTGTTCAAACAGTGTTCACCCTTAAAATGTCTAGAAACGCAAATGTGCCTTTTATATTGGGACGGGAGTATTATAGAATAATTGTGATCATGTTTTTCATATTATAATATATAAATAAAGGAAATTAATACATTTGAAGAAGAATAGAAAAGAAAAAGAAGAAAGAAAATCAGGAAGAATTGCAATAGAACTCGATCGAAGGGAAAGCAGGGAAAGTCGGTGACTCGGTGGAAGCTTTTTGCTCTGTGATATCAACATACGAATCATGATTTCAAAAGTAATTAAGAAGCTAGATAAGATATACAACAACAATTGGCCGGGGAAGGAATTAGTGTGTCGAACGATGACGGAGAAAGAAAAAAAAGCCGTGAAGGAGAAGAATAGCAGCCAGCTAAAAAAGAACAGAAACAGTGTCGTTCTGGGTACCGGTATATCATGAGCATGGTATACCAGTTGTACGATATAATTTGCCTTATTACTCCGTTATCAAGTTTAATTATTAATTTATTATCAACAAACAATTTGGATTATTCATATTTTGTGTACATGCATGTTAGGGAAATTTTTAGGAAATTAATATATATTTTGAAATTTTAATAGAAATTTAATATATGCAATTGCATATTATAAAATGTTTATATTATATAAGTAATTTATGTTTAGAGAAACTTAATAATATTACCTACTCCGTGTAAAATGATTTATTTATTTATAAACATGTTATAAAATTTATTACTACGCACCAAAGTAAATTGTATACATAAGTCAAAAGTCAGTGTTGAAATAAATAAATAAATAAAAACCATGAGTTATTACGGTTTCAACTTTACATTTTTTGCTTATGTGTTTCATAAGAAAAGTAAGACCTATATTTCATCATGAGTTTTTTTAAATGATCAAAAAAATCATGAGTTTTTTTTTAAAAAAAAATTATCGAAATGCAACTCATTCACAAAAATATGATTAATAATTATTATAGTAGAGTCTCATAGTCATCTAAGTGTAAATTGAACATAAATTACAATGACTAAATTACTTTTTTTTTAACCCGGAAGGCAAACCACCGCATCCAGTGGGGTAAATGCGGGGAATCATTTACCATATTTTATTAAGCAGCAAGAGAATACATGACCAAAGTGATTAAAAAAATTGGGGGGCTAGACCTTACCCAATATAATAAAAAATTAACTGAAACGAAAGAAGCTAAGACCAAGCTTATCTGCTAAAATTGATTTTCGAATATAAACAAGAATCTCCATATTTGACTAAATTACTATTATAGTGGATCTCTACTACACTTAGAAGGTTACTTCACCACAACATGAAATTTTTATTTCAATTATTAGTTAACTAAATTAAATTCTAAAATGAGACATACGTAGGAACGTAGAGATGTCAATTCTTTGGGAGAGGAACGAAAATGGATGGTCAATTAATCAGAACTCCTAACTAGTTAGTTAGAACGAATGATTCCAAACTGTTCTTCATCGGGTTAGCTACCGTATGCAACGTTATTCCCAGCGTGATTAGATAGATCGCCTTGCCGGAGATCTTCCCTTTCTTATTATGTGCCCCTCCAAGACCTCCAACCTGGTTCCGCTAGTGTGTGTTAGTAATATTCTGGAGAATTATTCCTTTCTATCTATTTACTCGGTTATCAAGTTTAATTCTTATCAACAAACAATTTTGATTATTCATTTTTTTTGTACTTGTTAGGGAAATTTTTAGGAAATTAATATATATTTTTGAAATTTTAATAGAAATTTAATATATGTAATTGCATATTATAAAAAGTTTATATTATATATGTAATTTAATTATGTTTAGACAAACTTAATAATATTACATACTCCGTGTAAAATGATTTGTTTATAAACATGTTATAAAATTTATTACTACGCATCAAGGAAACAGTCTCTTTATGCTTTAGTACAAGGGTAAGACTACGTACATCCGACCCCCCTTACCCCACTGAAGGTGGGAGCCTTTGCGGCACTAGGATAATGATGAATGATCAAAGTAAGTCAAAAGTAAGAGTATTGAAATAAATAAATAAAAACCGTGAAAGGCATGAAGAATGAAGACATATACAGAGTACATATGTCATATTGTCATGGTTATTACTTATTACGGTTTCAACTTGGTGACAACTCCGGTACCTTTCTAAAAACAGGGGTACCATACCTAGCATTCATTTGATTGGACCACATCACTTTATAATTTTTAATTTAGATTTAAATAATTCAACTGCTACCTTTTCATTGGTCCATGTGGACAAAGGTATGGTACCTTATGGGTACCATAGAAACTACCTTTCAACTTTACATTTTTTGTTTATTTGTTTCATAAGAAAAGTAGGACCTATATTTCGTTATGAGTTTTTTTTAAAAATATGATTAATAATTATTATAGTAGAGTCTCATAGTCATCTAAGTGTAAATTGAACATAAATTACAATGACTAAGTTACTATTATAGTGGATCACTACTACACTTAGAAAGTTACATTTTTTAAATCAATATTTATGGGATTACGTCTAAAATATCACTAGAAAAAGATATGGACAAAAATGTGACCTTTTTTATATGTTCCAAAAAAGTGACTAAAAAATAGTAAAACGACTATAACACCCTTAGTCCTTGGCCCTTACTAAGCCCAAACTCAACTCCTGCTACAGTAACCCGCTACAATGACCAATGGTGCAGTGACCAATGTCAACTATTGTCATAGTGGCCAGTGACATGTATGTCCAGTGACAGTGACACATATGTCCAGTGACAATTATTCCGGTCACAATAACCAACATGTCGCCGACCATAGTGACTTGCCAACTGACCTCACCGGCCACGATGAACTTGTCGACCATAATGATGAGTGCCGCTAGCCACTACCACCTACCACAGTGATAGTGACCACCGTCGTATAGGTAGTGACAACTAGCCAATGACCAACACCGTCCCCGGTCATAGTGACCAATGCTGCCACCGGATACAGTGACCAACACCGCGCTGGTCAAGTGACCACCACCCACGGTGACTCGCCGCCATCGGTGATGACCACCTCCGGCGGCCAAAGTGACCACTATCGCCAGCCAAAGCCCAAAGCATCCCTCAATTGAACCCAGTCAATGCCACCTCCACCTCCCCAACTTTCCGACCCACCCCCAGCGCTGCCCCTCTCTAACCCCCACATCATTACCTACCCGGACAATGCCCCTGACACCCTTCGGCCACTGCCATCGCCCCTTTCCCTACCCATCCCTTTTCCCCTGCCCCCTACCCCACCACTTGCCGTCCATATCCCAATCCGTAGCCCATTTCCTTGCAGTCCCCTGCACGCATATACAGCTTCCCCTTCGCACCCTAGCCTCCGTTATCACCATCAAGGTGTAGTCGGCCGCCGCCAGTAGACGTAATGGGCAAATCGACCACGACATCAGCTAGGAGAACAACATCATCACTGCGGAAGAAGACGACCAATGACGCACAGTACAGATGCTTCACATCGAGCGGCGACATGTTAAAGCATTTGTCCCACACCGGAAAGCTATAAAACAATTAAACACTATATAAGGATTTTGGCTACTTTTCCTATCAAGTTAACCTTTTAGGATGGAACCCCGGGTCTTAACATGGTATCAGAGCCAACTCTGGTTGTGGTTTGACGGCTTGTTTAGCACCCATGATTAAGGGTAGCTTGTTAAGGGTTCGTTTGGCTCGTTTATACACCCTGATATTGTCCAGTCTGGTTTGGACTGAGGGGGCGTGTTAAAGCATTTGTCCCACACCGGAAAGCTATAAAACAATTAAACACTATATAAGGATTTGGGCTACTCTTCCTATCAGGTTGACCTTTTAGGATGAAACCCCGGATCTTAACACGACCGTCCAGATCTGATCTTCGATAATGATGTGCTGCGGGAAAGAATGGAGAGGAAGATGATGATGTGGCGTGCGGCTCAGGCGTGGAGGTAGATGAAGACGGAG